GAATTTTACCCAGTGATAGGAGGAGAGCATGGAGGAGGTAATAACTTGATCTTAAGGACACACCTAACTGTAAGGAAGGTTGGAAAATACATTCTAGCTATGTGCGTGGGAAAAGGAGAAAATAAATTTTGAGGGGCATTTAGAAAGTTTTATAGTATAATATTTGGCTCAGCCATGAATAATACTGTTATATCTTATTAAAATCATCTTCAGGGGATGTGGGTGGGATAGGAACATATGTGTGTGTATAATTCTGTTTGTCTCTAGGGGGAATGTTTGAGACAGCTAAATTCTTTCATAGTAGGAAGTCTGTAGATACTATCTAAAGTGAAAACAAATTAAGATCAGTATCAGTTTAAGCATGTAATTTAGAAGTACAGAGATAAACTTCAGAAGAAACTGCTAAAAGAGTTGAAAGCAGTTGCTTCTGAGGAGGAAGGTGGGTAGTTGGTGGACAAATACTGTTTTGTCTTATAGTACTGTTGACTTTTTGAACTCTGTATATGTATTTGTTTTATGAAAAGTAAATTGGAAAAAAAAAGTTCCTATAGTACAAATAGGAAATAAACACATAAAAGGTGTTAAGTACTGGGTGCCTGGGTGGCTAAGTTGGTTAAGCATCTGACTCCTAATTTCAGCCCAGGTCATCATCTCAGGGTCATGAGATCAAGCCCCAAATGGGGCTCCTCACTCAGCACTGGGTCTGCTTCTGCTTCCATCTGCACATTCTCTCTCTAAAATAAATAAACAAACAAATAATTAAAACCTTATAAAAAAAAGTATTAAGTATTGAATGCTATGAGAAGGGTAAGACTAAAGTTCATAGAGACATATTTCTCTGAGCCCAGCTTAGGGGGTAGGAGCCTCCAGGATAGATTAGGGAAGGCTACCTGGAAGAGAGATATTTTTCTATTTACATTGTGAATAATATAAGCCATGATGCAATTAAATGTTTTGGATTTGTTTTTAAAGTGAACAATTAATTAATTAAATTGCAATTAACATAATTTAAATGTTCATTAATCCATTTAATAGGTTCATTGAGTGCCTACTTTAAACTGGGCACTGTGGTAGGTAAACAATGGTAAACAAAATCAGAAATGATTTCTCTCTTAAGGTAGATACTTAACTGAGCCACGCAGGTGGCTAATTTATTTTTTTTTTAAGATTTTAAGATTTTTTTTTTTTAAGATTTAATTTATTTATTTGACAGAGAGAGAGATCACAAGTAGGCAGAGAGGCAGGCAGAGCGAGGGGGATGCAGGCTCCCTGCAGAGCCTGATGGGGGGGCTCCATCCAGGGACCCTGAGACCATGACCCGAGCTGAACAAAGGCAGAGGCTTAACCCGCTGAGCCACCCAGGCGCCCTCCTAATTTTTTTTTTAGCAGGACAAACTTTTGATGGCTTTCTGTAATCATGCCTTAGAATAGTTTCTCTGTCTTGTGGAAGGGTTACTTGAGAAGTAATTATTGCTATGATTAGTTTTTGTTATTATGCAGCAGTTATTTCTGATAAACTTTCTTACCTAGTGTATCCATACAACTCTTTTAAGTCTCAGGCTCCAGAATTTGTAGCCCAGTCTGTCAACTGAGTGATAGATAATTAAAGAAGAGTGTCAGAAACTTCTTGTGAAACAATTCCAGAGGCCCCTGGGTGGCTCAGTCTGTTAAGCATCTGTCTTTTGCCTTTGGCTCAGGTCATGATCCCAGGGTCCTGGAATGGAAGCTTGAGTGGGACTCCCTGCTCAGTGGGGAACATACTTCTCCCTCTCCTTCTCCCTCTGACTCCACCCCACCCCCCACTTGTGCTTGCTTGCTTTCTCTCTCAAATAAATAAAATCTGGGGGGAAAAAAAAAAGAAAATTCCAGTTGCTGCTAAAGGCTTCAGATTTTATCAGCAAAAGAAAGATGTGAAGCCATCTGTCTGGAGTGGATATTCTTTTAATTGCTAGTGATTTTGAATGTCTACTAAGTACCTAGCGTTGTGGTAGTAAGGCAGGCAGAAGAGGAAGTGCTGTATATTTGCACGAGGAACAAAAAACAGGGAACAGAGTGTTATACCTGACAGAAAGTTTGTAGCAATTGAGCAAACTTCTGATAGTTCTGTGATTTCTTGTGATCACAAGTGTTCTCCTGCCAGTGCTTTGCTTAACTGCAATTTAAATGCACACAAAGACCCCCAGTTAGCCTGAAATCAGACTCTATCTGCACGTAGTAGCTAATGTAGAGCATTGCATAATATTATGCAGAATTCCTAGAAATCCCCACCTGTTCCCTAGAATCCCACATGAGTATTTCATGCCCAAATTATAACCACCCATAAAAATCAGAGCCTCATATCTATCTAGTGCTACTTAGATCCTCTTTCTTTTTTTTTTTTTTTTAAAGATTTTATTTATTGATTTGACAGAGATCACAAGTAGAGAGGCAGGCAGAGAGAGAGAGAGAGAGAGGGAAGCAGGCTCCCTGCTGAGCAGAGAGCCCGATGCGGGACTTGATCCCAGGACCCTGAGATCATGACCCGAGCCGAAGGCAGCGGCCCAACCCACTGAGCCACCCAGGCGCCCTTAGATCCTCTTTCTGAGTGTGCCCTCACTCCTCCTTCCTTGGAGTGTAAACTTGGACTTTGCAGTAAAGCTTCCTCTGTTATACTTCATTCTGACTTGTCCTTGAATTCTTTCTCACTGCAAAGTCAAGAACCTGCCTCTGGTTTTTGGGTGAGGTCCAGGGCCTGAGAACTCCCTAAGTCTGTAGTAGTCAGTAGGCATTGTAAGGATTCAAGGAAGGAAGACATGAACTAGAAGTAGGAAGTGGACTGATGTCTTAATGATATAAAAATGAAATGGAATATATGCTAAATACTGTTGTTTTGGGGATGCCTGGGTGGCACTCAGTTAAGAGATTGCCTTTGTTGGCTCTGGTCGTGTTCCTGGGTCCTGGAATCAAGTCCTGCATTGGGCTACTTGCTCACTGGGGAGCCTGCTTCTCCCTCTGCCTGTTCTACCTGCTCTGCCTGCCAATCCCCCTGCTTGGGCACGTTCCCTCTCTCTCTCTCTCTCTCTAACAAATAAATAAATAAAATCTTGAAAAAACTGTTGTTTTCAGTATTCAAACAACTCTTTAAAGAAATTTGTTAAAAATTCTTTTGTGTTTTCTTGATAATAATTGCTTATATAAGGTTAGAATCTCATTTAGTACTCATTTGCTGCATTCTAAAAATGTAACCAGGAACTAGAACATAGGTCCAGCATTTTTATTTGGCTCCACAAGTTTTGCTATGAGTACACTGGGAAGCAGTGAACATTACTCAAAACCTTATCTCCTTAGAACTTTATTTCTAGAAATTACAACTTTTTTGGGAAAAATTTGTACTGTTCTTAGAAATAGCAATTTTGCTATATAAAATTACCACACTTTTTTTTTTTTTTTTTTAAGTGGCCTCCATGCCCAATGTGGGGCTTGAACTTATGACCCTGAGCTCAAGAGTCACATGCTCTCTACAGACTGAGCCAGCTAGGTGTCCCACCACACTTTTTTTTTTTGGTGGAATTAAAAAAAAAAATATATATATATATATATTTTTTTTTAAAGATTTTATTTATTTATTTCACAGAGAGAGATCACAAGTAGGCAGAGAGAGAGAGAGAGGAGGAAGCAGTTTCTCCGCTGAGCAGAGAACCCGATGCGGGACTCGATCCCAGGACCCTGAGATCATGACCTGAGCCAAAGGCAGAGGCTTAACCCACTGAGCCACCCAGGTGCCCCAAAAATATATATTTTTATTTTTTTTATCAGAGAGTAAAAGCAGGGGGAGTGGTAGGGGAGGGAGAAGCAGACTCCTGGGCAGAGAGCCTGGGCAGAGAGCCTGAGGTGGAGCTTAATCCAGGACCCTGTGATCATGATCTGAGCCAAAGGCAGATGCTTAACCAGCTGAGCCACCCAGATGTCCCATGGGATCCATTTTTATTTTTAAAATTAGGAATTTTCAGCAGTTTCTACAAGAGTTTAGATATAGGCATATATTTGGCAACTGTTTTGACAGTTATGTGAAACACCTTAGAGTATTGAAAGCAGTGTATAAATCAAATGAATTAAAATATCCAAAACTAGGAGCAAAAACATTCTAACTGGTAAGCTTTTTAGTGCTAAGCTCTAAGTGGTAGAGCTTTTTACTAGAAAATAACATTAGTGGTAAAAAATATAAATGGTGAAAATATAGGATGGTTTTGGCTTAATTTTGTTTCTGTTTTGGCTTAAATTTTTAATTATAGTTAAAAATTATAAAATAATTTAGAAATAAGAACCTAATCAGTTTTTTTTTAATAAAGTCTTTTTTTTCCCCCCAAGATTTTATTTATTTATTTCACAGAGGGAGAGAGACAGCAAGAGAGGGAATACAAGCAGGGGGAGTGGGAGAGGGGAGAAGCAGGCTTCCTGCCAAGTAGGGAGTCCAATGTGGGGCTCGATCTCAGGACCCTGGGATCATGACCTGAGCTGAAGGCAGACACTTAACAACTGAGCCACCCAGGTGACCCTAGTTTTTTTTTTTTTTTTTTAATAAAAGAGAATATCAGTCTGACTGAATAATCCCTATACCCCATGTGAGACCCTGAGATCAAGAGTTGCATGCTGAGCCAACTAGGTGCCCCTAGATTGGAATGTGTTTTCTTGTTCCATTTTCTTTTATATTAATCGTGGTACATCAATTGCAAGTTTTATTTCCCTTTTAGTTGAAATTCTTACTAAGTAATGTAGAATAAATCTAAAATTCTCTGTTTTGATGTCATATTGACATAATTACATTAGAACCTACTTTATGACTATTTGGCTGTTATTTACGAATAATTGGGTTTTAACTCCTTATATGGTTAATGGAGTTTTTAAAGTTTTTACAATTTCTCTAGTTTTGAGAACAAATTTGGAAGTTTTTGAAAGTCTCACCAATTTTTTTAAAATGCCTCTTGCATTTTAAATAACACATTTTTTTTTTAACTCTATAGTTTGTTTGCCTACTCTGGACTTGAAGCAATCCAGCTATTGGAAATCTGCCATTTTACAGTATCACAATTGGAAGGAAGCAGGTTTTCAAATAATGGAAGACTTTAAGACCTCTAAAAATGAAAATCATGAACCAAAGAAGAATGCTTGGGCTCTTTCTGAAGAAAGCAAAGCAGTTAAAGTTATATCTAATCAAACTTTGAAAGCTAGAAATGATAAATCCATAAAAGAAATTGGAACCAGCTCTCCAAATAAGAACAGTAGTAAAAAAAATAAGCAAAATGATATTTGTATAGAAAAAACAGAAGTTAAATCATGTAAAGTAAATGCTGCCAACATAGCAAGCCCTAAAGATTTGGGATTAGTCCTTCGAGATCAAAGTCATTGCAAAACAAAAAAATCACCTAATTCACCGGTGAAAGTAGAAAAGGTACCTGTTTCACAAGCAAAAGCAGAAAAATCACCAAAGTCCCCTAATTCACCAGTGAAAACAGAAAAGACACCCAGCTCACAGGTGACAGCAACAGAAAAGGCACTTAATTCACAGAGGAAAATGGAAAAAGTACCCAGTTCTCAGATGAAATTGGAAAAGGTCCCTGGTTCACCAGCAGAACCAGAGAAGGCGCCCAGTTTACTGTTGAAGGAAAATATGCGACGTACAGAATTACAGCAGATTGGAAAAAAAATTCCAAGCTCTCTTACTTCTCTGGACAAAGTGAATATTGATGTGGACAGAGGAAAATCTGCTTTGGAAAACTCACCAGGATCTCAGAAGCAACAAGCATGTACAGATAATACTGGTGATTCTGATGATAGTGCTTCAGGAATTGAAGACATATCGGATGATTTGAGTAAGTACAAATTAGAGTATCCATAGGTCACATTTTTGGAGAGATTTTCCTGTATTAATGTTCTTTAGATTATCCTTAATTTTCAAAAAACACATTAATAATAAGGCTTTTTAAGCTAAAAAAGAACCTTTACATTTATTACAATAAGTAAAAAGCCTGTGTAAATAGAAATTAGTGGCTTCTGTAATTGGTATGTACATGTGTATGTACACACATACACACTTTTTAAGTGGTCCTGGTAATATGTGGCTCATTCATTCAACGAACCTGTATGTATTGAGTTCCTTTTATATGCCAAATATATGTTTGTAGTGGAAAAACAAAAAAATACAGCACCAAATCTCAAGGATGCTTCTAGTTAGATGGGGGTGATACACATAAATAAAATGGTAATAGTTCAGTGCAAAAAACTTAAGGTGAGAGAGTGCATAATTTAATTGAGGGATTTAGTCTTTGGTTTGAGAACATGCAGGACATAAATGTGAGAATGAGAGTATGACTGAGATTAAATATGACTGGAACAGAATTGGGGGTGAAAGTAGCAAATGATCCAGCTGAAAAGACATACAGTAGTTGGAGAATGAAGGACCTTTTAGGACATGATAGACAGTTTGGACTTTATGATGAGTGTTTTGAGAAGCCATTGAAGACTTTTAAGCAAGGTAGTTCTATGATCACATATATTTATACATGTTTTTAATTGGACTGTAGTGCAATAAATTCTTTGACAGGAAGCAGAGATTGGTTAGGACACTTGCAATTTACTTAAGACTTCTTGGTGTAAAATTCATTTTCTTTTAGTATTTTGATCTTAGCTTTAATTGCTTATAAATGTTGCCTATCTTTTGAGTACTTTAATCTTGGTTATGTTTAACTTTATGGATTTTTTGGGCAATCTTTTTTCTCATGTTTCTGTGGCTGGGTGAATAAAAGCTTTCCTTGATATATGAATAACAAAGAAAAGCTATTTCTAAGTCATTATTTGTTACACTTTGAGAAACTCTGGTAAAGGGTTTAAAAATAGTTTATTTCTGATGATAATAATTGATAGTATATTAACAGACCACTTTTTTAGCTTTAATAGACATATCTTTATGTGTATAAGAAAAAATACCAACTTCATAATTTTAAAAATGCGATTTAAGAGAAGGCCAAAAAAAGTAAGCCAGTTTAAAGATAGTATCAAAAAAATAACACTACTGATAGTGTTTAGGTGAGACAAATCTGAACTAGATAGTATGTGAATGATTGAAGTTGGGAAATAGTGGTGCATAAGATCAATTACAAGGGTTTGATTGCTTGAGTTAGTGAAAAATCTGATTCAAGGATTATTATTATTTTTCCAAAGATTTTAATTATTTATTTATTTAGAGAGAAAGAGTGCACAGGAGGAGAGGGAGAAGCAGACTCCTCTCTGAGCAGGGAGCCCAACATGGGGCTTAAGCCCAGGACCCCCCAGATTATGACCTGAGCTTGAAGGCAAGATGCTTAATTGACTGAGCCATGCAGGCACCTCCAAGCATTATTTTTTTTAAAAAGGGAAAGTAGGGGCACCTGGGTGGCTCAGTGGGTTAAAGCCTCTGCTTTCAGTTCAGGTCATGATCCCAGGGTCCTGGGATCGAGCCCCGCATTGAGCTCTCTGCTCAGCAGGGAGCCTGCTTCCTCCTCTCTGCCTACTTGTGATCTCTGTCTATCATATAAATAAATAAAATCTTTAAAAAAAAAAGGGAAAGTAAATGAAGTGACATTGATATGATTGAGAATGTGGGCTGTAGGGTAAAATTGTACAGGTTTTGAATCCCATCTTCCCCACTTAATAAATTTGTAATCTTGGATAAGCTGTTTATACTTTATTTTTTTAATGTATATAATATTTATGAATAGATATACTGATATACATAATAGATATAGATAATGGTTGGATAGGGATAATGCATCTAGATGCACATCATATAAACTACTTATACTGTATTTATTTATTTATTTTTAAAGATTTTATTTATTTGACAGAGATAATAGAGAGGCAGGCAGAGAGAGGCGGAAGCAGGCTCCCTGCTGAGCAGAAAGCCCAATGCGGGGCTCAATCCCAGGACCCTGGGATCATGACCTGAGCCACCCAGGTGCCTATAACTACTTGTACTTTAAAACATGTTTCAGTTTCTTCATTGTTTTTTTTTTTTCTAAAGATTTTATTTACTTATTTGACAGAGACACAGTGAGAGAGGGAACACAAGCAGGGGGAGTGGGAGAGGGAGAGGCAGGCTTCCTTCCCAGCAGGGAGCCCGAGGCGGGGGAGGTGGGGGAGTGGGGGGGCATGATCAGAGCCACTGAAGGCAGATACTTAATGACTGAGCCACCCAGGTGCCCCACCTCATTTTTTTTTTTTTTTTTTTTTTAAGATTTACTTACTATAAAAAAAGAGAGAGCACACACAAGAGCAGGAGAAGGAGAGGGAGAGAAAAATCAGCGGACTCCATGCTGAACGTAGAGCCTGACTCAGGGGCTTTATCTCACAACTCTGAGGTCATGACTTGTGCCAAAACCAATAGTTGGGTGCTTAACTGACTGTGCCACCCAGGCAGCCCATCAGCCCTCATTAAAAAAAAAGTTAAGATGCTGCTGCCTGTTTTATGAAGGTGAAGTGAAGTAATCTAATGGAATGTTTCCTGTAGTACCTGACATGGTAGGCATGCAGTGCAATGAATGAATATCCTTTATTATTATTATTTCTCTAATTAAATGCTGTTTTGATATTTGTTAATATGGAGAACAAGTTGAACTAGTTTAAAGAAGCTGGTAGACCAAGAAGAGGTCCTTTTGGAAGACTTGGTTTAACAAATTCAGAACAATGATTTGTAGTATAGTAGTCATTTTTTGTTAAAGAATTCTCTTGAGTATGTGTAATATCTGCCTTGAAGTAATGTTCATACACAATTGTTTAGTATTTTTTTTCCTCATGTGAAAATTCCAAATTATATTTAAATTAATGATTTCTCATTAGAGTGTCCCTTTATAAATTAAATAGAATAAACCTTTATATATAGATCATTGTCTATTTGGACTTAACCGACTTTATAGAAATTTGACTAATCTCAGGCCCACTTGAGGTTAGTGGCTTAATCTTCCTTCATTAGGCTCAACTTTAGCTTCCAGTTAACACTTCAGCTTTTCCTTTTGCCATTAATCCAGTAAATATTTTTATGGGTGTCTGCTATGTGCCAGGTACTAATTTAGTTGCTAGGAATTTAGCAACAAACTAAACAGACAACATTGCTTTTACAGAGTTAATATTCTAGTAGGAGGAGAGGGACTATATATATGCGCATATATATATATATGCGCATATATATATAAAATAAATAACAAAAGTATGTCGTAAGTTAGATGGTAGTAAATCTTATGAAAAAGTAGGAAAGATCATAGGGAATGATGCTACTGTGTCTGATGGTTGTGGTTCAAATTTAAATTGTCACTGAGAAGGTATCAGAAATATTTGAAGGAAAGTGGCATTAGTACATTTATAGTACTTAAAATATGGTGAATATTTGAGGGATGAGTGTTCTAGATCTGAGCTTCTCAAACCCCCCCCCCAAATTCTAATACTTATATGAATTAGCTGGGAATTGTATTAAAATGCAGATTCTTAGGTTCCTTTTGTAGGAATTTTTGATTTTGAAAGTCTAGAGTGGGACCTGAGATAATGGATTTCTCACATGCTCCTGAGTGAGATTGGTGTTGCTGGTTAGGATCATGCTTTTGAATAGCATAACCCAGCTTACCTCTTTCTATTCACTTACGTAACTTTTCATTTTATTTTCAATGTAACAGCCAGAATGATCCTGTTAAAATTATTCGGATCATATTACTACTCTTCAAAATGGTTCCGTAGTTTCCCATACATTAGAGTGACAGGATCCTGAGATCATGACTTGAGCCGAAGGCAGACACTTAACCCACACTTTACACAAGTGGGAGGGGCACAGGGAGAGAGAAGGAGAGAGAATTTCAAGAAGAATCCACACTGAGTGGGGAGCCCAACACGGGGCTCTATTTCACAACCTTGAGATTACAGCCTGAGCCCAAACCAAGAGTCAGTTTACCAACTGAGTGCACCACCCAGGCACCCCTGTTGTTATTATTTTTTTAAGTATGTTCCATACCCATTGTGGGGCCCATTGTGGGGCTTGACTCAGATCCTGAGATCCAGACTGAGCTGAGATCAAGAGTTAGACATTCAAGCAACCAAGACACTCAAGTGCCCCTACCTTTTTATATAATAGCTTTATTGAGATGTAATCACATGCCAAAATTTCTCATTTAAAAACATACAGTTTTGGGGCATCTGGGTAGCTTAGTTAAGCATCCAGCTCTTGATTTCAGCTCAGGTCATCTTGTCAGGTTCTTGACATCAGGGCCCACATTGGGTGTCTTGTTCAGCTTGGTGTCTGCTTAAGATTCTCTCACTCTCCTTATGCATACCACTCCTTGCCCCCCACCCCTGCTTGCTCCCCCAACCCCACTTGCATGTGCTCACACTCTCAAAAAAAAAAAAAAAAAAAAAAAAAAAAGAAACACAGTTTAGTGATTTTTAGGACTATATTTAGAAAGTTGTGTAGATTTTATCACTAATTCCTGAAAATTTTCATCGCCTGCAAAAGAAACTGTACCCATTAAAAGTCACTACTCATGGTGCCCTTGTGTGGCCCAGTGGGTTGAGGCTCTGACTCTTGATTTTGGCTCAGGTTGTGATCTCAGGGTCTTGAGATCAGCCCTGCACTGGACTCCCATGGGTTCAGTTGGTTAAGCATCCAATTTGGATTGGACTCCATGCTGGGTGAGGAACCTGCTTAAGGTTCTCTCTCTCCCTCTCTCACTGCCCCTCCCCCCTAAAAAAAGAAGTCACTTACCTACTTACTATCTCTGTAGATTTGCCTATTTTATATAAAGGGAATCATATAATATGTGGCCTTTTTTGTTTGGCTTTTTTCACTTAGCACAACGGGTTTTTTTTTGCTTGATTTTTTAAATTAAAAATTTTTTTTTTATTTGAGAGAGAGAGACTGAGTGCATGCAAGCAGGGGAAGGGGCAGCGGCAGACAGTGGGGGAGAGAGAGAGAGTCCCATGCAGACTTGGTGCTGAGCTCAGAGGCCAAAGCAGGGCCCAGTCCCATGACCCTGAGTCATGACCTGAGCCAAAACTTAAGAGTTGGATGCCCAACCCACTGAGCCCCCCAGGCTCCTCTCCTTTATTTTAGAGAAGGTGAGGGAGAGTGAGAGAGGGGCAGAGGCAGAGGGAGAGAATCTTAAGCAGGCTCCATGCCCAGCGTACAACCCCATGGGGGGCTTGATCTTCTGACCCTGAGATCGTGACCTGAGCCAAAATCAAGTTGGATGCTTAACTGACTGAGCCACACAGGTGCCTTAGCACAACGTTTTCAAGATTCATCCATGTTTAGCATGTACCAATACCTTATTCCTTTTTATTGCTAAATTCCATTGTATAGTTATACCACATTGTATGTATCCTTTTACCAGTTGATAGATGTTTGAATTGTTTCCATCTTTTATTTATTATAAATAATGCTGTTATGAACATTTAAACGTTTTTGTGTGGATGTATGTTTTCACTTGATGTATGTGTAGGAACCTGAACCATACAGGAACTCTAGTATCTTAACCATTTTAAAGTATATAATTTGGGGCACCTAGATGGCTCAATTGATTAAACACCTGCCTTTGGCTCTGGTCGTGATCTCAGGGTCCTGAGATTGGGCCTGCCTCAGGCTCCCTGCTTAGCAGGAACTCTGCTTCTCCCTCTCCCTCTGCCCCACCCCTTGCTTATGCTGTCTCTCTCTCTCTCTTTCAAATAAATAAAATCTTTTAAAAAAAGTATATAATTCAGTGGCATTAAGTACATTTATAGTGTTGTACAACCGTCACCACTACCTAACGGGAGAACTTTTTCATCATCCCAAAAGGAAACCTTGTCCCCATTAAGATTTATTCCCTTGGGACCACCTGAGTGGTTCATTTGGTTAAGCGTCTGACTCTTGATCTCAGTTCAGGTCTTGGGTGGGGGGGAATTCATTCCTGTTCTCCCTCGCTCCGTCATCCTCTGAAAACCACTAATATGCATTCTTTCTCTCTATATTTGTCTCTTCTGGGTATCTCATAGAAACGGAATCATAGAATATGTGATCTTTTTGTGTCTGGCTGCCTTCATTAAACATCATGTTTTCAAGGTTCATTCATGTTATAGTATATATCCATCAGTACTTTTTTCCTTTTTAAGGCTGATGCTATAGACTGAATTGTGTCTCCTTAAACTACCTATGCTGCAGCCTTAACTCCCAGTGTGATTGCATTTGGAGATAAGAGCTTTTAGGAGGTAATTAAGATTAAATGAGGTCACAAGGTGGGCATCCTAATCCCATAGGATTGAAGCCTCATATGAAGAGGGGAAGCATTGAAGCCTCATATGAAGAGGGAAAGCAAAGAAAAAAAAAAAAAAGAAGAGGGAAAGCTCTGTCTGTGAGAATTTCTTTTTTCTAGCTTCCTTTATTATAATAATACAATATATAATATTTGTAACATACAAAGTATGTATCTGCCTGTTGTTATTAAGGTTTTTGGTCAACAATAGTCTATTAATAGTTAAAATTTGGGGCAGTAAAAAGTTATATATGCAGATTTTTGGCATCCCAAGCCCCAATATTATTCAGGTGTCACTTGTATAAAGAGTATCAGACTGTCTTCTGAAACAATGTAAGCTTAAGCTATATTTTGCAGGACAGGTAAATATTACTAGCTGAAGTAAGGATGGCCTTGATGGTGAAAGGAGCAGCATATGAAAACGCATTGAGACTTGAAGTAGCAGTGATCCATTCTAACACATTTGGTATGAATAAAGTGAAGAGTGTTATGGTAGGTTATAAGGTTAGAGATACGGATAACTTAGTTCTGTTTCGTAAGGTCTTTTAAAAAAATTTTTTTTTTAAAAAGATATTTATTTATTTATTTATTTGACAGAGACGGGGAGGGAGAGAGAGAGGACAGGCAGGGAGAGCAGCTGGCAGAGGGAGAGGAAGAAGCAGGCTCCCTGCAGAGTAGGGAACACAATTCGGAACTCCATCCAAGGACCCTGGGATCATGACTTGAGCGGAAGGCAGACACTTAACCCACCGAGCCACACGCTTGGCCCTCTTTAAGGTCTTGATTTAAAATCTGAGAGAAGTCTTCCCTGATTCCCGTATCTGAAGTTAGTTTCCTTCTGAGTTACTTGCTTTTTTTCTTTATAGCATTTATTACAACTTGAAATTATTTTTCTGTTTACTGCCTTCATGAAGGCAAGGATGGCATGTATTATGCTAGAGAGTTTAAACTTTATCTTGAACTCTTTGGAAGTCTTTTAAGTATTTTAAGCAAGAGAATAACATGATTCAATTTGTATTTTTAAAAAATCACACTGATAGTGGAATCTACTATATGCCAGGTGTATAATGCTAGGTACTGGAAATGAAAAGTTGATAGTACACAGTCTATCCCTTAAAGAGATTTCAATCTATTTAGGAGGCAGAGAAGCAAAGAAGAAATACTGATGTGATAGGGATATCCATGAGTTCAGTGAAAGCAGAGAGGTACTAGCTTGGTGTGGGTTTGTGGTCCAGAGGACATATGTTCTTTTAGCAGCTAGTGTATAGTGATGAAGTCATTAAAATGACTTTAGTGACTAATCTTTGGGACTTAAACTAGATTTTTATCATATTTCAGAGTTCAGAGATTATACAAGATGGTTATGTTGTGTTAGCCTTGTGTAGTGAGTCTGTCATATTTGTCTTTTGATATGTCAGAAGAACAAGATAGGCATTTGACTCATGAAATAGATTTTTCTTTGTGAATTCTGATACCATGTATATCTCTTCTTTGTATTTACATAAGTATACCAACTTGTACAACTAAGGAAGGTATGAGGAAAGAATATTTTCCCTGTATGTGTATAAATTGATTGTTTCCCATTGAAATTTTAAAAAAATTTTATCAGTTCTGCTGATGGTAACTGATTGCTTCCTTTTCTAGGTAAAATGAAGAATGATGACTCTAATAAAGAAAACTCTTCAGAGATGGACTATTTAGAAAATGCTACTGTGATAGATGAATCTGCATTGACACCTGAGCAGAGGCTAGGCTTGAAACAAGCAGAAGAACGCTTAGAAAGAGATCACATCTTTCGACTTGAAAAAGTATACTATGTCATTTTAGTTATTTGAAGGATGATGGATGTTTTATAACTTTTCTTTGCCAAGCACAGCTCTTTTTATTTACCTTCTTTTATTGCTCAGGCAGAGATAGCATTCACTTTTCCTAACTTCCCTCTTTCCTTTCTTCTCTCCATCTTTCTTTTCTTCTCTCCCTTTGTTCAGCAAATCCTTGTATGTGTGAGTCTGAATTCATTCATTCTTTCTAGGGGTCAACAAACTATGGCCTGTCTTCTTGTTTTTTCCTTTTGTTTGTGTGCTCTGTGTTTTCAAAATTGTGTAAAGTAAACCTAGTCCCTTGTTTTTGTAAGCCAAATTGTATTGGTATATAGCCATGCCGTTTGTTTACCCATTTGTGGCTGCTTTCATGCTACCATGGCAGAGTTGAATGAGTAGTTACTCCAGAGAGCATTATAGCTTGCATAAAATATTTACTGTTTACCAAAGCATAAAATATTTACCAAAATATTACTTTGTCCCTTTACAGAAGTTTGCTGATCTCTGATTTTTTCACTCAGCAGTAGATACTGAATGCTTCTTATGTTCTTAGTACTATGCTGGGCACTGGGGTATATTGATGAAAATGGCAGTTGGTGAATTAGAAATGAACAGTCCATTTGGAATGACAGAAATAAATGAGCAAATATTATATAGTACGCTTTTTCCTTTTCTCCTTGGTTTTCTCCTCCCCTTTCCTCTTCCGTCTCCCATATTTATTGAATATCTCTTATGTATTAGGAATTGTTTTAGCCATTAGTATCTTGTTCCTGTATACTAATTAAATTCTTAACCTAGAAATAAACATTCCTAGCCTTAATAAAAAACATTGCTAGGTATTGAAGGAAAGAATCATAAATCAGCCTGTTCACAAACAGGTACTTGGGATATTTGTGAGCATGTAAACAGGGTAATCTAGGTCATGATTCTTGATAAATAAGAAAGGAAAGAAAGAAATGGTATAATTTTATAGAGTTTAGAAAAATGAGGTCATATCTAAATTGAAGAGGCAATCCTGGGTTATTAATAGAACTTATAACAGAGTGGTCACCCTAATAAAATAGAAATGAATATCAAGGGGTAGAGGCCCATAATGTAGGGAGAATTTAGGTTGTGTAGTTAGTCTCCCAAGGTGCTAGTTAGAAGGAAGTCTTTTTTGCAATTTGTTCTTTTACTTAGTTCTTGCTTTCCTCACTTTCTCTTCCCTATGTCTGGAGTTAGTAGTTATTCTGGGTGTATGTATTGTTAAGGTAAATATTTAGTGCTTTTTATGTGCCATGATCTGGTGATAAAAAGTTGAATTGGGGCTTGTGTGGCACATTAATTAATTAAAAGATTTTATTTATTTAATTAACAGAGAGAGACAGTGAGAGAGGGAACATAAGCAGGGGGAGTGAGAGAGGGAGAAGCAGGCTTCCTGCCCAGGAAGGACCCCAGTGCAGGGCTTGATCCCAGGACTTGGGGATCATGACATGAGCCAAAGGCAGATGCTTAACAACTGAGCCATCCGGGTACCTCATGTGTGGCATTTTAAAAAACATGTTACTGGTTTTCTGGTTTACTAATTAGAGAAAAACATGTAAGAGATAATAGTAATAATAGCAGTATCGTTTGAAATCTTAGACAAAAGAGTGGCCAACTTGAACGGGGGTATGGAAGCATCAATTTGGAGAATTCTTTATAAGCAGGTGACATTGGAACTGAGTCTGAAGGAGTATCTGTAGGAGTTGACTAGGTGAATTGGGGAAGTCTGGTGCATTAGGTGAATTATATGGCATGTAAAAAGGAAATGTGAAAAATGTGTTTTAAGAAAAATAGTAGGACTGGATGGGATAGGATATAAAGCAGGAAAGATCAGTTCTTGGGAGAAGAAAGAAATTAAAGTAGAATAGATGTTTGATGGTGGTAGGAAAGAATGCAGGGGGTAAAAGAAAAGCTTAGAAGCATAGAACAAAAACATTTGCTGTTTGAATTTATTTGAATTTAAGCAGCCATTATACAAAATGAGTGTGCCAGTACTAGCATAGATGTCTATAATGTCTTTTCTTTCTGGCACTTCTTTGTTTCTCATGTCCTCCAAAACCTCTTACTTTCAATTCACTGTACTCTTAATTAATATTTTTCTTTATCAACTTTAGATATTCATTAAGAATATTCTTAACTACTTGCTTTTGATTTTATCAGTTCTTGGGTTCACAATGTACCCATACATTATCTGATTGATGAGTAAAGATGTAGATTTTTAAACTGTACCAAAGAAGGAAAGAATCTAAGCTATTAGGTCAGAAGGGTAAATTTCCCTATAGTTAGTGTTAAATGTTGACTAGGAAATACTTAGAATTTCCATGCCCAGCAATCTTTATTCTAGCTCTTTTGCAGAAAAAAAAAATTTTTTTTTTTTAAAAGATTTTATTTGTTTATTTGACAGACAGAGATCACAAGTAGGCAGAGAGGCAGGCAGATAGAGGAGGAAGCAGGCTCCATGCTGAGCAGAGAGCCTGATTCAGGGCTTGATCCCAGGACCCTGGAATCATGACCTGAGTCAAAGGCAGAGGCTTTAACCCACTGAGCCACCCAGGCGCCCCTCTTTTGCAGAAACTTTAAAGAAGATTTATTAATGTCTGTGTTTAATAGTAAAATAAAATATAACTATATAATGAAGGAATTTTAAAACATTTTTTGTGTGTCTCTTCTATGAAACTAGAAGCTTCATGATGTCATGAAAACATTTTTGTTCCATTTGCTACTGTGCTTAATATAGTTCCTTGCACATGGAAGTTGGTTATTAATTAGAGATAGTATAAGTGTATAGGTTTTGGAGTCACTTAGTCTACCTTTGCCACTTACTGCTTGGGTAACATTAGATAAGTTATTTAACTTCTTTAAACCTCAGTTTCTTCCTCATTAAAATCAAGTTGATAAAAATAACACCTAGCTCATTGTTTGAGGATTAGGTATGATAAATACAAGTAAAAGTTCTTCGTATAGTGTTTGGTGTGCATTAAGCGGTAAAGATCAACTACTTGTAGAATTGAATTATTTTACTACTAGAGCAATTTTTATTATTTCATTTTAAGTTTATAGAAGCAGTTTTCAGTGTTCGAGATTTTTTAAAGATTTTATTTATTTGACAGAGACAGAGACAGCAAGAGAGGGGAACACAAGCAGGGAGAGTGGAGAGGGAGAAGCAGGCTTCCTGCAGAGCAGAGAGTCCGATGTGGGGCTTGAACCCAGGACCCTGGCATCATGACTTGAGCTGAAGGCAGACGCTTAACGATGGAGTCACCCAGGTGCCCCAGTGTTAGAGATTTAATCCAAGGTCAATAGATATGTCATCACAAGCCTTCTGACTCCCCATTCATGTTAAAACAAACTTTTCTTTTCTTTTTTTTTTTTTTTTTTTAAGATTTTATTTACTTATTTGACAGAGAGAGATCACAAGCAGGCAGAGAGGCAGGCAGAGAGAGAGAGGAGGAAGCAGGCTCCCCGCTGAGCAGAGAGCCCGATGCAGGGCTCGATCCCAGGACCCCGAGATCATGACCCGAGCCGAAGGCAGTGGCTTAACCCACTGAGCCACCCAGGTGCCCCAAAACAAACTTTTCTTACAAAAAAGAATCCAGACAAGTCCTTGTCTGCTAATATTTTACAGTTGAAAAACTTTTATGATGAGTTTTTCTTGACTCCCTTAGTGACCTCATGAATACTCATAGCTTTAAGTGTTCTGTATTTATGTTTTCAACTCCTCAGTCCTGACCCTTGCCACTTTCACCACTCTTCTTGAACCAAGCCAGCATCATCTCTTGTCTAGATCATTGCAGTATGCTTGTAATGGCAATAAGCTCTTCCTGTTTCTATTCTTAAAGGAATTAGGAAGGCAAGGATCCTTTTAAAATATAGATGAAAACTTAATTCTCTGCTCAAAAACCTTCAGTGTCTTCCCCTCACACTTGGAATAAAAACCAGAGTCCTTTCAAGGGGCCTTATGATCTGGCCCTCCTTACCACTCAGTGCCAGTCATATATCAGGCTTTTTGCAGCGTCTCAGACATATTAACATATTCCTGCCTGAAGGCCTTAGCTTAACATTTCCTTCTACTTGGAATATCTCTTCCCAAATACCCACATAGTTTAATCCTTCACTTCCTTTCAATTATTTTATCAGTAAGGTCTTTTTTTTTTTTTGTAAAGATTTTATTTTTATTTATTTGACAGACAGAGATCACAGGTAGGCAGAGAGAGAGGAGGAAGCAGGCTCCCTGCTGAGCAGAGAGCCCAATGTGGGGCTCCGTCCCAGGACTCTGGGATCACAACCCGAGCCGAAGGCAGCCGCTTAACCAACTGAGCCACCCAGGCATCCCAGTGATGATCCTTTTTAAAAAAGTAGTTAACACCCGTGCACCATATTCCTCCTTATCTGTGGGTTTCTTTATTACATGTCTCTGTATATTAGAAGTAAATTATAAGGACAGTTTTGTTTTGTTTATGCTATATATCCCTCCTTCCTAGACAAATGTTTGACATTTGTTATGAGCTCAGAAAATATTTAGGGAATTAAGTATTAGTTGTGGTTAGAAACCAAGAGGTAGGAGTCTCTGCAAGGGCTTAATTCCCCAATAAGGACAGATTTGAAAGAGTTTTTTTATGGCTTTTTGTTTTTAAGTTTTTATTTAAATTCCAGTTAATATATAGTATAATATTAGTTTCAGGTGTACAGTAGAGCGATTGAACACTTATGTACATCACCAGATGCTTATCGCAACAGGTGTACTCCTTGATCCCCATCACTATTTAACCCATCCCCTCACCCACCTATCTCCTGGTAACCATCAGTTTGTTCTCTTGATAAATTTGGTTTCTTGGTTTGCTTCTCTTTCTCTTTTTTTAACCTTTGCTCATTTGTTTTGTTTAAGTTCCACATGTCAGTGGAATCATACTATATTTGTCTTTCTCTGACTGACCTATTTCACTTAGTGGAATGTTCTCTAGTTCATCCGTGTCATTGCGAAGGGATAAAGAATTTTTATACTACAAATTGAAATGACTGAATTGAGCTGAATTTTCCTTTTTGCTTATTGTTTTGGACAAAATTATTTAAGTTTTGAGATTTAGTTGCTTTGCCAGTAAAATGGGGAATCATAAAGTTGAAGGTTATACATACTTTATAAATGATGGCTGTATTTATTTTTAGTCTGTGGTAGGACTCTTGCTAAATTTGGGGCAGGTTTCTCCATTTGAAGAAAGTCAATATTATGAAGTTAGAGAATCTCAGGAGTTGCAAGCTATTGAAGATCAATCTGAAATAAAAATTGTAAGCATTTTTGTAATTTCAGAAGTTGCAGTATAAGGCACTAGAAATAATGTTTTAAAATTCAGTGTGTATTTATTATGCTTTTGTAATTTTTCATTCTATAATCATATGGGTTGAGTTGGCTTCGGAATCAGATATACATGAATTTAAATTCATCATCTCCTACTTAATATTATATCCTTGTGAAATTTACAGGCTGTATGAGTTTTTGTGGAGAATGAAGATAATAGCAATCTAATTGGATTATTAGAGGTATTAAAAAGACAAATTGTGTATGAAGCACCTAACTTAGCACCTGGCATAAAATAGGCACTTTGGAATTAGTTACGTTTTTTTTTCTTATTATTTCACGAACAGGTTATTGTAAAGTATGACTAAAGGACTATGATAATTTTTGTGTGTCATCAGAATTGTTCCCTTTAGAATAGTGGCCTCAAGAGATTATTCATTTATTTCCATGAGATTGTGATTGAGTAGAATGTTTCCAGAACTAAGCTTTTGGAATATTCTTCCATATTCTCAACTCATATTCTTTTAAAATCTCCTATTTGAGAGTGGATTTTATTTTTTATCAAAGAGTCAAGGTTTGAAACCAATTTTTGGGAAAGCATTGGGAAGAAGACTACTAAGACTGCCGTTCTTATCCTACATTGGATTCTAAGGACTGTATTATAAAGTATCAAACATTTAGCATTATCACAGTGTTGTTTGAAATGAGAATATGATCTCCTATGATGACTGTTTTGAAAAGGACTATATAAGTACTGATTTATTAAAAATTTATTCCTTTAATGCTTGTTTTTGTTTCTTATATTTATGTAGTTATATCATTCCCATATATAGTCAAATACTTAATTCTCTGCTTTCTGAAAAAATGCGTTTTTTAATTTTTCAGCGCTCACCAGAATATACCAATTGCCGATATCTATGCAAACTTTGCTTAATTCACATTGAAAACATCCAGGGAGCTCATAAACATATAAAGGAGAAACGACATAAGAAAAATATTTTGGTGAGTTCTTTTTTCAAAATATATTGTTTATTTTTCAAATGGCAAAACTCTATCAAATACTTACTTATGAACTAAAAATGGGGTATTTGTCCTGTTTTACATTAGTAAGTGAAGTGATAGCATTAAAAGCTGTGTTCTTTTATCTTAGGTGGTCAGGACGGGAACCTTTTCAGAGCCAGTCTGTTCGTACTAAAGTATGTTGATTCTCAAAGTTAAAACTGTCAGATATAGTTGGTAGAGCATATAATTCTTGATCTCATGTTGTGGGTGTAGAGATTACTTAAAAATAAAATCTTAATTAAAAAAAAACTGTCAAATACAATCAGTCCAACTGATGCTTACTGAATTTTTGTGTACTAGGTCTAGGCAGTGGTGAATAAGATAGTTGTGGTTCCTACCCTCAGATTTTCTAAAATATTGGTGAAGGCATACACTGAAAAAGAATCTAAGTATATCGAGTTCTATTAAAGGGAGAAATGTGGTGCTAAGGAAGTATATAAGGATATTTTACCTAATCTGCAACAGGGACATTTCTGAGAAAGATATTTGAGTTGAACTTTGAAGTAGTATTTTGAAATTAAGGCAAAAAGGGGGTGCCTAGTTGGTTAAGTGTCTGACACTTGGTTTCAGCTCAGGTCACGATCTCATGGATCGTGGGATTGATTGAGAGTCAGTTCTGTGCTCAGCAGGGAATCTGTTTGAAATTTTCTCCCTCTGCCCCTCAGTCCACTTTTGTGTGTGTGCTCTCTCAAAATGAATAGGTAAATCTTAAAAAGAAAAAATGAAAAAAGGTGAGTGAGGACATGGCATATGAGGAACAGAAACAGTCTAGTATGACTTGGGCAAAGAGAGATAGGAGGAAAATGGTGTGAAATGAAGCTAGAGAAGTCCAGACCATGCAGGACCTTATAATCTTTAGACTGTCGGAATTCATAATTTTTCAGTTATTTTTATTAGAACATTTCATAGACATAGGTATGAGTAATGTTTTTAAAAAAATTATTAGTATTTTAGCCATTTAAGCTTTTCTTTTCAAAGTGGTAATGTATATTTTTTATGAGGCTGATACATATCTTTTTAAAGATATATTTATTTATTTTAGAGAGAGAGAGAGAGCACAAGTGGGAGGGGCAGAGGGAGAGGGAGAGAGAATCCCAAGCAGGCTCTGTGCTGAGTACAGAGCTCTATCCCACAACTCTGAGATCACAACCTGAGCCAAAACCAAGAGTCTGATGCTAAACTGACTGTGCCACCCAGGCACCCCTCAAAGTGGTAATAATAATATTATTTAATCTCCTACTTATGTCTGAGTGTCTGCTTGTGTATTTTCTCTGAGAAAAATTCTTTGACCTGACCTTCCCAACAGTCTGGGTTAGGTATTCCTTCTCTGTGCTTGCAGAGCTGCTTGAACAGAAAACTGGATATATTGTATTGTGCATGTCTGCTTTCTCTCCTCTTCTAGACTTGAATATGCAATATTCTAGAGGGCAGGTTTCAGTTCTTATTTATTTTTGTTTCTATATTGTTTAGGACAGTGTCTGACAAAGTAGGTGCTCAATATGTCTTTCTTGAAAAAAATGAGTGCACTGAAGAAAATCAGGAACTCAGAAGGAAAAGAAATTAATTTTTTAAAACAGATTTTTATTTATTTATTTGACAGAGAGAAACACAGTAAGAGAGGGAGCACAAGTAGGGGGAGTGAGAGAGGGAGAAGCAGGCTTCCTGTTGAGCAGGGAGCCTGATGCAGGGTTTGATCCCAGAATCCTGGGATCATGATCTGAGCCAAAGGCAGACACTTAATGACTGAGCCACCCAGGTGCCCCAGAAATTAAAATCTTACTAGCATATTATTATTATTATTATTTTAAAGGTTTTATTTATTTATTTGAGAGAGAGAGTGAGAGAATAAGAGAGAGAGAGCGTGAGTGGGGAGACGGTCAGAGGAAGAAGCAGAACTCCCTGCTGACCAGGGAGAATAGGAGACTCCATCCTGGGACTCTAGGATCATGACCTGAGCTGAAGGCAGTTGCTTAACCAACTGACCCACCCAGGTACCCTATCAGCATATTATTTTGATTTAATTAGAGCTTCAGAAGATTTAATAGGACAAAGACAAAATTGGTAGTTTATGAGATAACAACTGAAAAGTCTCAAGAAATGTTGAGTGATGCTAATCATTAATTCCAGGAACCTCAGGGAATTCCACACAAGAAACTAAAAAGAAAGCTGGTAGACATTATATACATTATAAGGAAATTTGAGGACATTACAAAAAAACTAAAAAAAAAAAAAACCCTTAAAAGCAGTTGTAGTAGATTTTTGCTAAGTTGAAGTTGTAATAATAATGACGAGATTTACCTTTACTCCTGAATAAACCAAAGGAAAAAAGGGATAAAAATAGCTAACAGTGGTTTTCAGGCAGTGAATGGAAAACAAATGAGATTAACCCAACAATTACTCTAGGTTTTTTTTTTTTTTTAAAGATTTTATTTATTTATTTGACAGGCAGAGATTACAAGTAGGCAGAGAGGCAGGCAGAGAGAGAGAGGAGGAAGCAGGCTCCCCGCCGAGCAGAGAGCCCGATGCGGGGCTTGATCCCAGGACCCTGGGATCATGACCTGAGCCAAAGGCAGAGGCTTTTACCCACTGGGCCACCCAGGCGCCCCACAATTACTCTAGTTTGAGAGAGTTTCCATACTGCATTATAGGAAGGGGAACCCAGTAAGGGGAACCCAGTATACTCCCAGAGTTGCGGAGATGAACTTGAGTCCAGGGAATCCAGGGTGGCTAGAGTTTGTAGGACAGGATAATAAAAAAGAGAAAGCTATACAGAAAGAAATCTATAGATAAAAAGACAGTACCTTCTGAGTATTCAGCACAGTACTGATTGGTACATGCATGTGAGAAAGCTGCCTGAAGCCGGGGAAAGAATCATCTAAAGAAATTAGAATAGTGCTTGATGCTTATATAGGGCTGAGAATAGTACCTTCCCACTATTCAGACTGAAAAACTCGTACTTCATGGGCATTGGGTAGAGTGCCCAGCAGGATCTTGTTTCAGGAGTGGGGAATATATAGAAACTAAATGCAGTCTGATCCCAATAAAGCCTTTATTTTTATTTTTTTTTAAACTAAATTTTTTTTTTAAAGATTTCATTTATTTATTTGACAGAGATCACAAATAGACAGAGAGGCATGCAGAGAGAGAGGAAGAGAAGCAGGCTCCCTGCTGAGCAGAGAGCCCGACGTGGGGCTTGATCCCAGGACCCTGGGATCATAACCTGAGCTGAAGGCAGAGGCTTTAACCCACTGAGCCATCCAGGTGCCCCAAGACTTTTTTTTAAAGATGTTATTTATTTGAGAGAGAAAGAGAGCATGAGTGGGGAGGAAGAGAAGGGCAGGGGGACAGGGGCAGAGGGAAAGGGAGAAGCAGACTCCCTGCTAAGCAAGGAATCTGACATAAAGCCTGATCCCAGGACTCTGAGATCATGACCTGAGCCAAAAGCAGATGTTTAACTGACTGGAGCCACTCAGGCTCCCCCCAACTAAAGAATTTTTTTTTTTTAAAGATTTTATTTATTTATTTGACAGACAGAGATCACAAGTAGGCAGAGAGTCAGGCAGAGAGAGAGAGAGGGGGAAGCAGGCTCCCCGCTAAGCAGAGAGCCCAATGCGGGGCTCGATCCCAGGACCCTGGGATCATGACCCGAGCTGCAGGCAGAGGCTTTAACCCACTGAGCCACCCAGGTGCCCCCCAACTAAGGAATTTTAAAGGCAAGACCTAAAAGGACTATTTCCAGGGCTTAATGTTGTTATAGAACAAAGCTTGAGGGTATATACAGAAATAGAAAATATCTGTCACCACAAAAAAGTTCACATTGTCTGGCATTCAAAGATAATAAGGCCAAAGAAGGAAAATACATACCACAATAAGGAGAAAAATCAGCCAATCAAAACTACCTTGAATTGACAGAAAAGAATTAGCAGAGGAGGACATCAAGGCAGATAACTATATTCCTGATATTCTAAAAATTAAAGAGACATGGAAGATACAAAAAAGATTAAAGCTGAAATTACAAGAATGAAAACTACAGTGTCTAAGATGAAAAATACACTGAATGGGACTAATGGTAGATCAGACCTTAGAAAAGAAAAGGTTAGTGAACTTGAACATATAACAATGGAAAACATCCAAAATGAAATGGAAAGAGAAAAAGAACTTGAAAAAAAAAGAAAGAAAAGGTCATGTTTGAGCTCTGGGATAATTTTGATAATATGTGTACTGTTCTGCACATATTTCAGGGCACTGAAGAGTAAGAATGCTTCTTAATTTCAGTTCATGAGTCCCACATTACTCTCATACCAAAACCAGAAAAAGATTCTACAATAAAAGAAAACTTCAGACTATATTTTTCATGAATTTTAATGCAGAAATTCTATACATTACTTTAGCAAATTGAATAACAATGAAATTAAGGAAGAAATATATTATGGTCAAGTGGGGCTTTATTCCAGGAGCACAATGTTGGTTTAGAAAACCAATCAATGTAATTTATCATATCAAACAAAAAATCATTTCAGTAGATGCTGAAAAAGCTTTTTTTTGAAGTAGGTTCTACTCTGAGTGTGGAGTCCAAGGTGGGGCTTGAACTCACAACGCTGAAATCAAGGCACAAGCTAAGATCAAGAGTTCAACCATATTCTAGCATGTATCAGAATTTCCTTCCTTTTAGTGATGAATAACAGTTCATCTTATGTATATACAATGTTTTGTATATTCATTCATCCATCTATCCATTCATGTTTAGCTTGTTTCTACTTTTTGGGGATTGTGAATGATGTTGGTATCAACATTGGTAGTTTTTTCTCCATTTTCTGCTTTCATTTCTTTTGTGTATAGACCCAGAAGTGGAATTGCTGGACCAAATGATAAATATGTTAAATTTTTTGAGGAATTGCCCTGCTGTTTTCTATAGTGGCTACATTGTTTTACATTCCCACTAGCAATGCACAAGGGTTCGGTTTCTCCACATTTATAAACTCTTATTATTTTTCTCTTTTGTTTGTTTTGATAATAGTCATCTTCATTGAATTGGTATCTCATTGTCCTTTTGATTTGCATTTTCCTAGTGATTACTGAGGTTGAATACCTTTTCATGTACTTAATGCCCATTTGTATATCTACTTCAGAGAAATGTTTATTCAAGTCCTTTAACCACTTTTGAACTGGGTTTTCTTGTTCAGTTTTAGAGGAGTTCTTTATAGGTTCTGGATATTAATCCCTTATCATATATGTGATTTGCAAATATATTCTCCTATTCTGTGGATTGCCTTTTTACTCTATTAATAGTGTTGTTTAATACATAGAAGTTTAATTTTTTTAAAGATTTTATTTATTTATTATTAGTGAGAGAGCCCAAACAAGCATGAGTAGGGGCAGGGACAGAGGGAAAGAGAGAATCTCAAGCATACTCTGAACTGAGCTCGGAGCCTGATGTGGGACTTGATCCCATGACCCTGAGATCATGATCTGAGTCAAAATCAAGAGTTGGACGCTTAATCCACTGAGCCACCCAAGTGCCCCCCACAGGTTTAAATTTCATAAATTCCAATTTGTCTGATTTTTCTTTTGTTGTCTGTGGGTTTTTTTGTTTCATAGCTAAGAAATCATCGCCAAATCTAGTGTCATGAAGCTTTTTTCTTCCAAGAGTTTATAATTTTTGTGTATGGGTGTAAGATAAGGGTCCATTTTGCATGTGGGTATACAGTTTTCCTAGCACCATTTGTTGAAAAGACAGTCCATTTGCCATTGAATGGTTTTGACACCCGTATTAAAAATCATTTGACCATATATATGAGTTGGTTACGTGTTTTATTCTTTTGGTCTATACATCTATCTTTATGCCAGTACCATAATGTCTTGAGTACTATTGCTCTGCATAAGAAGTTTCAAAATCAGGAAATGTGAATTTCTGACTCTGTTCTATTTCAGGATTGTTTTGGTTATTTTGGGTCCCTTGAGATTCCATGTTAATTTTAGGATCAATTTTCCTATTTCTGCAAATAGGGATTAAAGGAATTTTGATGGGATTGCATTGAATCTGTAGATTGCTTTGAGTAGTATTGATATCTTAACAATATTAAGCTTGCTCATCCATGAACATGGGATATCTTTCTGTTTCTTCATTTCTTCTTTCATTTCTTTAAGCAGTGTTTTGTTGTTTTCATTGTACAAGTCATTCATCTCTTTAAGGTAATTTCTAAGTATTTTATTCTTTTGGGGACTGTTTTAAATGAAATTGTTTTCTTAATTTCCTTTTCAGATTGATTGTTGTTAGTGTCTAGAAATGCAACTGTTTTTTTGTGTTGATGTGTGTCCTGCTACTTTACTGAATTTAGTCCATTAGTTCTAACTAATTTTTTGTGTGTGTCTGGCATCTTTAGGGTTTTTTATGTATTAGATTATTATCTGTGAATAGAGATTATTTTATTTCTTCCTGTCCAAGTTCATTGCCTTTCATTTCTTTATGGCTAACACTTCTCTAATATATTGAATAGAAGTGGTGAAAATGGGCATTCTTGACTCATTACTGACTTTAGAGAAAAAACTTTCACAGCCTTTAACCACTGACTGTAATGTAAGCTGTGGTTTTTTCAAATATGTCTTTATTATGTTGAGGTAGTTTCTTTTTATTCCTAGTTTGGTATTTTGTTTTGTTTTGTTTTTGACCACAAAAGGATGTTAAATTTTATTGAATGCTTTTTATGCATTGGTCAAGATGCATAAAATTTTTTTTTCCTCTCATTTTGTTAAGGTGATAATTACATTGATTATTGTATGTTGAACCATTCTTGCATTCCAAGAATAAATTGTACTTGTCATGATGTATAATCTATTTAATATTTTGCCAAATTTGGTTTGCTTGTATTCTGTTGAGGATTTATTGAAAGTTTTAAAGTAGAAGACTAACTGGTGGAAGTAAGGGGAATAAAATGAAGGGGCAGAGTCTGGAAATAGGAGACTCATTAGGAGATTCTTCCTTCTTGGGCACTATTTCCTAGCCTAAACTGATTGTTTCCAGAACTTACCTCATCTCTGCAGAACCATTTATTTACTCAGGTGCTTAGGACAAGCACCTTTGATTTATCTCTCTGATTTACATCCCCCATTCAAACCATTAACAAATTGTATAGAATTTACCTTCAAAATATTATGTATTCCCAGTTTAGTCATTTGTCACACACACTCTTCTTTCTGTTTGGGCTTTTTTTTTTTTTTTTTTTTTTTTTTGTAATCTCTGTGCCCAGTGTGGGGCTCAGACTTATGACTTTGAACTCAAGAGTTACATGCTCTACCGACTGAGTTGGCGAGGCCCTCCTACTTTTTCTGTTTTAGTCTATGCTACCACTGTCTCTCACCTGGACTATTTCCAACTTAGCCCTCCTTCCTGCCCCCATACTGTATAGTCTGTTATTCTTTATTTATCAGCAAGGATTGCTCTTTTAAAATATGTCATATCATGTTACTTTCTGGTCATAGCCCCTCTTTGGCTTCCCAACTTAGAATAAAATGTAGGTCCTTACCAAGTTACTTAAGGTCATGTGATATTTAGCTTCCAGTTAATTTTTCAACCTTACCACCTTCTAGTCACCCTTTTGTTAACCCTTTAGCCACATTGATCTCTTCAAATAACATTAGGTACTTTCTTGCCTTAAGTTTCGGCATTTACTGTTCTCTGTATCTGGAATGCTTTTCCCACCAAAATTTAAAAGTCTCTCTCTTTCTTTTTAGGTTTCTGCTAAACATTACCTGTTTAGAGGGACCTTCTTTGTCCACTCTATGCTAAAATAATAACCCTTGCCCATCAGTGTGTAGTCGTACCCTGTTTGATTTTCTTCATAGCTTTTCCTGACATGATAGTATACATTTATTTATCTGTTTCTATTTTCTCTAACTAGAATTAAGTTACATAGGGCAGAGACTTCATTGAGCATACTTATGACAGGATATATGAGGATGATCATTAATAGGATATCAGTGAGACTGTTAGTTGGAACAGTATCCTAAAGGAAGTAGGATAGGCTTATTAATAACATAGGTAGAGGAGTATGTTCATCGACTCTCTTTTATCTTTTTATTTCCATGACAATTTAGCAATATAATTCAGAGAATTTTTTGGTATTAAGTATGTAGCTATTAATACCTTGGATGAATCCTAAAAAAATAGACCTGAGAACTTCAGACACTCATCTAAGATTTAGATTATAATTAAGATTGCAGAAATATTTACAGAAATTTATAAAAATGAGGTTGTCTTACCCCCTATGTTTGACATAGTTTACCTTTATCTTAGGTAAACTTTATGTTGAGACTAAATATGGTAACACTGAATAAAATTAGAAATAGAGTGAAGTCTTTGTTTAACTATATTATGGGGAGTAAAGAAGAGAGAATAAGCTACTTTTGATTTTTAGAATTGTTGGGAGCTACAATATAAGAGAATGTCTCTTGACTGAAATGTGGGGTATAGAAAATACCATTATTATAACATTAAAGAAATGGTATGATCCCAGTTATGGTAAAAAAAATAAATAAATAAAATAAAATAAAGGAAGGGGTGCCTGAATGGCTCAGTTGGTTAAGTGCCCAACTCTTGATTTTGACTTAGGTCATGATCTCAGGTCCTGGGATTGAGCCCCATCTTGGGCTCTGAGGAGTCTGTATCTCCCTTGGCCCTTCCCCTCTCCTGTTCTCTCTCTCTCAGTTAAATAAAATCTTTAAAAAAAAAAAAAAAAAAGGAAATTTTAGGATATTAGATCGTGGATGATTTTCTTTGTATTTTCCTGTGTTTTATGTAACTTTTGCAATTAGCATGTATTTTTTTTAAAAATCAGGGAAAATTAATCTTTAAAAATTATATATATATATAATTTAGTTGGTCCCTCTTTAGTTTTTGGTTTAAATTGGCTTTCAGACTTTTAGTGAAATCAAGGGTTTTGGGGAACATTTGGCTTAGCATTGGAGAAAATGACAGAAATCAATTTTAAATGGTAGGCAATATAACAAATGTGATGAAGTGTGTTTAGGATATTTTCCTGTGACCATTTAATATGCAGATGAGAGAGGATTCAAGACTTTCTGCTACATCTTTGCTGTAATAAAATTATCCGCGGAATTAATAGCCAAGTGTTGTACTTAAAATATTTTGGCTTTGATGTAGTATTTCAGAATTTATGCATACAGAAGAACAAATTTTTATTTTTTTAATGTTTAATAGGAACCTGCCCCAAAGCACCCCTCAATCTTCCAATACTTAGTCACAAAGGAAGGGATTTCTGTCTTGTTCACTTCCTTATCCTAGTTATCTTGAATCAGGCACGCAGAAGGTGAATATTTGTTGAGTTAATACATTTGTTTAGTCTTTTATCCTAAGTGTAAGGACATTAAAATAGAAAAGATTTTTTATGGTGTTGTTAAATGTTACACTAATAGGAAAAACAGGAAGAAAGTGAGCTTCGTTCTCTGCCACCTCCTACCCCTGGCCACTTGGCTGCTTTAAGTGTTGCAGTTATTGAACTAGCAAAAGAACATGGAATAACAGATGATGACCTCAGAGTCCGTCAGGAAATTGTGGAGGAAATGTCAAAGATTATAACAACATTTTTACCAGGTACAAATATACTTTATGCTTAATTTTTAAAATCGTACAACTCTTCCCTTTGCTTCCTGTCGACTTTACTTGTGTAAATTTCTTTATGTTTTCCTTTCTCTTTGTTTCTCTATCTTAAAAGCAGATGAATGTAATTATTTTTTAAGTGATTTTTTTTGGGGGGAAATATTTCAGGAAAGGAAAATGGGGAGTTACGAACATAATTTTTGTAATAAGAAAGATTTTTTAAATGTCAGATTCAGGAAAATTTCTTAAAGGTCTTATAATATTTTTAGTATTTCTGACTTCTGAATGGACATTTTAGTTATATTATTTTGAGAATATACATTCTAGCCAGTCATAGAATAAGAGTCCTATTGGCCTGATGGTGGGGAAAAATTAATTTATTTAAGTGGGGTCATTAGAAGTAAAATTTGCACTTTTATTTCTTTTTGGCTTTGCTCTTCCTTTATAGAAAGCTTATGTTTTTGGTGTCAATGGGAGTTGTGCCAGGTTTATTATAGACGTTTATATAAAGATTATATTTGTTTAGCCCTTACTATTTTTTACATCAATATTGAATTTAAATAAATATCTATTAAATAAGACTCATTTCTCACCACCAAAGGGATATTGAGCAGTTGACAAATTATAGTTTTATATAGAGCCATTGTGAGATTTATAAGAAAGAATGTAAAATTGAAATTTGGAAATGGAAGACATTTTCATTTCTCTTTCTTATTTCTGTTATAATGTGGTTTTCTATAAAAAAATTGAATACTAATTTAAATTATATGCAGAAGTAATTTAGTATGGGGGCACCTCGCTGGCTCAGTTGAAAGAACGTGTGCCTCTAGATCTAGGGGTTGTGGGATAAAGCCCCATGTAGGGTATAGAGATTATTTAAATAACTTAAGATACCTAAAAAAGATGCCTAAAAATTTTATTTTAAAATGCCTAAAAATTTCTATTTTAAAAATAGAAATGAAATTTTTATTATTTTAATGACTTCAATGACTTTCAGACGTTTTATGAACTTGGAAAGTAGACTTTTATATATATATACAAATGAGTATGAGCTCACATTTTCTAAGTAACTGCACCTGCCTGCCCCAGTAGTTCCAATCATGTTATTTTTCAACTTGCCCTCTGGTGAGAACCTTTTAAAATTTTTGAAATAATATATTCGACTGTCTGAAAAAGATGTAGGTTGTATGTTACTATTCCTATATATTTTGTTCTATGAATTCTTCAAAGCCACAGGATTTTGTTTTTTTGTTCAAGTGATTAGGCTTCTGATTGTATTTTTAAAGAATGTTGGCATTGAATGTCTGTGATCCCTTTACCGTTTTAGTGCTCTTACGTAAATATAAATATCTAAAAATAAATAAATGTAGCTTATGACAGTAGCTGTACCTAGGTTAGTACATTCTTTACTGTTACATATTAAATGTTAAACATACATCTAGTTATTCCTAAATGAACTGTTCTAAAATTTTGTTTAAACACTGGACTTTTATAAGTAAATTTCTTCCATCTTTGTCCCTGGCCCCCATAATTGAGAAACATTTTTATTATCTTGTTAGATCAATTAGAAAGGATGTCATTCTTCTCTAAATGTTGTAACTAGAATTGGAAGACATGAAATTAAAATATATGCATTTTTTCCTACCATTGTGTTAAAAATTTTCCCATTTGTACTCTATTTCATGCTTTGATATTTTTTCCTTTATTTCCAGAGTGTTCACTTAGGTTGTATGGCTCATCTCTGACTAAGTTTGCTCTGAAAAATAGTGATGTTAATATAGATATAAAATTTCCTCCCAAGGTAAGTAATTAGAAAAATCTTTTTCTACGTGATTCTTAACTAGTACTTGGTATTTTGGGGGGCTAGAAAACTGGTTTGTAGAGTGTTACTGTCATAATTAAAGGTTGCTTTTGGAAACTATTAGGTGTTAGACATAGGTGGAATAAAGAAATAAGGGAGAGGAAAAGGAAAGCAGAGGAATACAGTAAAAAATGAAAATGCTTATACATGTTTGATTTTGTTGAATAGTTATTGCTTGAAAGCAGGATAGAAAGTGAAAAGAGTTTTGAAATCATACATCTGTGTTCAAATCTTGGCTGCAACAAGGCAGTTACTTTCTGAGACTCAGTTTTTTAACTTCCAAAACAGGGATAATAACTTTATATTACATGAGATGCTGTATACCAGGCATTTTTGGGTAGTGTGTGGTACATTGTGGGTACTTTTTAAATAAGTAGTAACTAGCACAGCTAATACTACTTATTTATTGACCTATGAAACATTTAAAATGATCGGTTGATGTGTGTTACTGATTTTTTTTGAATGATACTCAAAGTGGTTTGATTTACGTGAAAATTTGATGTTTTAATTTTCATCTGATACAGTCATTTACTTAAAGTTAGCATGTGATTATTAAATAGTTAAAAGTAGCAGCAAAGTACATATTACACTAAGAATTTGACAAGCTTGTTAAAGTAGTATTTAATCTAAGTTTTTTGACCATGCTGCCAGTATCAGTATCTCTTAAATTTCCTATCTCAACAACTTCTCTTTAATGATTATTTGGTAAACTAATTTCTTTTCCATTTGTTTTACTGTGAAATTCCAGAATCTTTTCTCATTCTAAGATGAAATAATAGTACTCCATTATTTATTAGATTCTACTGCCATGAACAATATTTGTTAATATAAAACTCCATTCTTTTTTCATTATTTTAAGATACAGAGCATGATTTTATTTAAATATTTAATGAAATTGAATTCTCCCTAAAGTATGCAATTTGAACTATGAAAGTAGCATATTGATTTAATTTGAAATCTTTTAGATGAATCATCCAGATCTTCTGATACAAGTGCTTGGGATTTTAAAAAAAAGTGGTGAGTTTCTTTTTTAATTTGTCTTTCTAAAGAAAATTCTTTAAGGGTACATGCAATGTATTGTTTATATATGACTAACCAAGTTCAAATAACATTCATAGCATATTTGAGTCATTATATTACGTAAAGTTAAATATTTGTTGAGTAGGTGTGCTACAAAATTTATATGTCATTAGATCAAAAGTATATTTAAAGCTGATATGTAAAAAAGTACTGCCTTTTGGGTAATTTAAAAATGTTAGCTTTGAATATTACAGGCATTTCTTGTGTAGACAGAAAACCTATAATCAGTAGGAGGCCATTTGATGAAGGATGATTTAGGGAGGGACATAGGGAAAAAAATATGTGCATGTACTGAGTATTTTCCCCCCACTTAATATCAAACTAATCATTTATACTTCCATCAACCAAATCATACCTATCAAAAGTTTTTCATATCTGGGGGCTCCTGGGTGGCTCAGTGGGTTAAGCCTCTGCCTTTGGCTCAGGTCATGATCCCAGGGTCCTGGGATCGAGCCTGCATCAGGCTCTCTGCTCAGTAGGGAGCCTGCTTCCCCCTCTCTCTCTGCCTGCCTCTCTGCTTACTTGTGATCTCTCTCTGTCAAATAAATAAAATCTTTAAAAAAAATTTTTTTTAAAGTTTTTCATATCTGCCTTGTCTGTTTGGATTGTTTCTGGTGTAAAATGAACATTCATATAGGTAAAACTACCTCTTAAATTAAAATTTTCTAAAATTATGCCTGTCTTAAACCAGGTCATAGGTTATGTGGTACAATATGGAATATTATTTTGTTTTTTTATTTACTGCTTTTCTTGTTAAAAGTAAATGCTTAAGAGCTGAGGATCTGGAGCCAGACTTTCTAGGCTCAAATTTTAGTTCTGCCTCTTATTGGTTGTATCCTTTGGCAGATTATTTAAGTGTTAATATTTCAGTTTCCTCATCTGTAAAATGGCTATATATGCATATATATTTTTTACTATCCTTTTGATGAGAAGATTGTCATCAAACTCCGCATGTGGCTACCTGCTCAGCGGGAGGCCTGCTGCTCCCTCTCCCACTTCCCCTGCTTGTGTTCCCTCTCTCGCTGTCTCTCTATCAAATAAATAAATACACTCTTAAAAAAATATTTGCAGTTTGGCTTAGGAGAGATAGCTTATTGACCTTAGCCTTACAGTGTCATTGACTTCATAGTTTTAAACTTCCTTTCTTTCTTCCTCTCTCTCTTTCCCCTCCCGCTGGCCGTCAGGGTTTTTTTTTTTTTTTTTAAAGATTTTATTTATTTATTTGACAGAGATCACAAATAGGCAGAAAGGCAGGCAGAGAGAGAGAGAGAGGAAGGGAAGCATGCTCCCTGCTGACCCGATGAGGGGCTCCATCCCAGGACCTTGGAATCATGACCTGAGCTGAAAGCAGACTCTTTAACCTCACTGAGCCACCCAGGCGCCCCATCCCCCGTCAGTTTTTTATTGTTAGCTTCTTGTTGGTTGTTTTCCTTAGTTTTTTTTTTGTTTGTTTGTTGGTTGGGTTTTTGTTTTTGTTTGTTTTTGCACTCAAAACATTTTATTTGGTCCAATTAATGTTGTAAAGGCATTTTTAGTATCATTTTCTTTCTTAGTGTTTGTTTGTTATTGCACAAAAACTCTGAAGCATATTACAGATAAGAGGTATACATAGAGCTTTTACTTCTTTAGAATCAGTGGATAATATCAACTTAGCAAATGTATTTTATTTATTTTTTAAAGATTTTATTTATCAGAGAGAGAGGTTGAGAGAGAGAGCACAAGCAGGGGGAGTGGCAAGCAGAGGGAGAAGCAGGCTTCCTGCTGAGTAAAGAGCTGAACATGGGACTTGATTCTAGGTCTCTGGGATCACGACCTGAGACGAAGGCAGGCCCTTAATTGAGCCACTGAGGCATCTTGTAAATATGTTTTAGATACATGACTAGATATCTTAAGTCACGTAATATATAGGCTTACAAAATTCAGTTTGGTAAAAAAGATTATTACTGCCTTTTTTCTTTTTAAAAATTTTTAGTTTATTTTTTAATCTAAATTTCATTAAGATACAATGTATTATTTGTTTCAGAGGTAGAGTCAGTGATTCATCAGTCTCATAGTGCTCATTACATCTTGTGCCCAATGAATGGATTAAGAAGATGTGGTATATATATACACACAGTGGAATACTACTCAACTGCCTTTATGCCTTCATTGTACTCCTTTAAGACTTCTGTCCTGTCATCTACAGGATTGAGTTGTTTATAGATTTGTTTTCTAAACCCTTAATTGAGCTCCTTGTGTCTCATTCATTGTTCTATCCACCACGCATAATACAATTCCTGGTATATAAGTCTTCAGCAGATAATTTTTTTATAAGTTAATAATTCCAACAAGTACTACTAAGAGATATTCTTTAGACCTCAAATGAAATAGTATTAAAACATCTATTTTTATTAGATTAAATATTTATGACATGGTACCTACCTGGGAGATGTAGAGAAAGACTTCAGAGTGGAAGTGTGCTTCACCCTCTTCTTCCTTAAGAGCTTTGATTTGGCAGACCTTTCATATATTAACAGGAAATGGGGCTAGCAGAGTTAGTCTTTTACTTGCATAAATAATTTAAAAGAACTAAATTGTCAGAGAATTGTAGATTCTCATTTCATGACTTCTTCGGAAGTAGAAGTAAGTGGTATTTGTTGTTTGCTATATTTTTGAAGGTTTAATAACTGACTAGATTGTATACTTACTAGGAAATATTCAAACTTTTAGAGATGTTAAGTTCTTTCTTCTTAAGGTGATTATAATTTTTGGACAATATTTTGGACTATGCCTGTGGTTTGTGATATACAGCAAATGACACCAAGAGAGGTAAGAGATTCTGTTGGTTTGATGCTAATAATGAGAATTGTATATTATCACAGAAGCAATGTCAGTGATTTTTAGAAGGATGCTACTGCTTAGTGTTTACCATAGAGTAAATATTTGAGAGATGTTGACATTATCTTACTTGGTTTATTTTTTTTCCCTTATTAGTATTATATATAGATGTGGAATCTGATTTTCATGCCAAAGTTCCTGTTGTGGTATGCAAAGATCGGAAAAGGTTGGTAACAATGAATAGAAAATATTTTTCGAAATAACAATAACCGAGTATCTAGTGAACATTTCCAAGACAGAAAATTTTATTTTAGATTTCTCTTTGGATTAATATAACTAACCTAGTTTTCATTTATTAAAAACAAAAGCTTACTAAAAGCTTGTGAACGAGAAATAGAATTACCAGTTAAAAACAAGACACGGTAAGGCAAAACTTCTTATTTTTTTTTCTCAAGTTCATTCATCCAACAGTATTGAACATTTACTATATATTAGGTACTGCTTTGCTGTTGGGATACAAACATAAATAAGAAATATCCACTCTTCTTAAGGAGCTCACAGTTTTTTAGAATCCAGTTTTTGGTTCACTAAAATTGAATGAGTCATTGAAGACTATTCTTGCCTTTCTAGTCCGATGTCTATAGGACTGAGAGAACAATGTGCCTGTGAAAAAGGAAATTGAAATAATTCTGATTGAGATCATTGTGGGAGACATGGAAACAATATAGAAATAATTAAGTGTTCTTTTATTGAAAACTAACCTATATATCTTAAATTTTAAGAGTACTATATTTTCTTATTCCAAGTTAGAAGGATCTATGGAGATCTAATTCAACTTTGTTGTTTTCTAATTAGAAAATTGAGACATGGAGGAACTAAATGATTTGACCAAATTCACATCATTTAGAGTAAAATCAGAATTGGAATGGAAGTATTCTGACTTCTAGTGTTTTTTTTTTTTTTTTTTTTTTTGTTTTGTAACCACATTGTATCAAATCGCCTCTTTGTGGAAGCTCAGATACATTCTTCTCCCTGCCACCAAAATATCTCTTCTATAATTCTGTCACCCCTTAAGGTAGCTCCTATTTTCATTTACATATAAGCATTACCTGTGGGTTAATACATACATCCTTTCTAATCTGGAAGTAGCAGTAAAACCATGAAAGCTTGGATAGGAAAAATTAGAGTCAATAATTATAGCTAGTCAGTTCAGCATTTTATTTTTTTCTTTTTATCCTGTGTAAAGCAAAAAGAATGAACTGGGAAGATATGTTGCACCACTTGATATTGATGAGATCAATGTCTTTGATATAAAACAAATTTTGTGATTTCTGATGAATTTAAGTTCTAAATAAGGTTGAAATTTATTTGTGAAGTACAAATGAGTATTTAAAACATCTTTATATGGAACTCTAGTTATGGAAATGATTATAGTTTTCAGTAGGCTCTCAGTTTAGTAAAAGTCTTATTTTTATTATGACTTCCTAGGTATTAAAATATGGTGACTGAGACAAATCATGAGAGACTCTGGACTCCAGGAACAAACTGAGGGTTACAGAAGTGAGGGGATGGGGGATTGGGGTAACCGGATGATAGGGATTAAGGAGAGCATGTGTGGTGATGAGGATTGGGTGTTATATGCAACTAATGAATCATTGAACACTACATCAAAAACTAAAGATGTACTATATGCTGGCTAATTGAACATAATAATAAAACAATGCAAAAAAATTATGGTGACAGAAAGGATAACCATAGAGTTTGGAATATTCTGGTTTGTAAGATATTAGTACAGTGAAATTTGTTTCTGTCTCATTCACAGTGGTTTGCTTTGTAGAGTGAGTGCAGGAAATGATATGGCATGCCTCACTACTGATTTACTTGCTGCTCTTGGCAAATTGGAACCTGTCTTTACTCCCTTGGTGTTAGCCTTTCGCTACTGGGCTAAGGTAAGTGGAGCAGAAGAAAAAAAAGTACCTGTCTTTAAGGAAATTCAGGCTTTTTCTTGCATTAACATGTAACATAAATCTTAATATTTGGAGATAAAATGGTTATCCGCGCTAGACAGAAAGTGCTAGGGCAGGTTCTGATTATGGACATGAAAATAAAGCAGTCTCACAAACACAGAATGATTGATTTGTTTTTCTCCTTTTATGTAGTACAGAAGTGTTTTCTTTTGCATAGTAAACGAGGCTCAGATTTTCACTTTTAATGTGAGTGAAAGTTGTAAGATATAAGTTAATGCATAGGTTTGCAAGGTTTTTTTGTTAGCATCTTTTTCCCCCATCTCTGTCTTAGAACAATATTCTCTCTCCTCTAAATCATCGATAAACCTACACACTTTCTTACTGGCTAACTGCTGAGAATCAGTTGTTTCCTAAATTAGAATTAATTATTAAAGGCTGTGGTTCCCTTTGTAGTAATTTCTTTGGTATGAAGATAAGGAGATGTAATAAAATAATTACTGTTACCAATCCAAATGACTAGAGAGAGTATAGCTTTTCTGTGTATGTTCTTATCAGTGTACTCTTCATGACTTGTTACATTAGTGATGAGGAAATTTTCAGTCTTACACAAAGAGGATGGATTAAGGAACTATGGTAGAATGATAAAGGAGAGCAAAAATTGCTAGAGAATTCTTTTTGGAATTTTTTGTTTGGACTCTGATAAGAGGATTGAACTCAGGGTTGGGGTAGACTCAGCCTGGTTGGTTGAGTAAGGAACAGCTTGAAAAGTAAGTAACAGTCAGAAATCCTAAGGTTGGTGCTTCTTCAACTCAAGGCCTTTGTGTTTGGTATTCCTTTCATCTTGAATTTTCATACCCCACATTTTCAGCATGGTCACTTTTTTACTTTTTTCAGGTTTGTGCTCAAATTTCACCTTGTCAGAGTTCTCTGAATCACCTTATATAAAATAGCATTGCCTCCATCATTCTCCCTGCTTTTACCTTGCTTTATTTTTTTCATAGAACTTGCCATACATGCATTTATTTGTTTGTGATCTGTTTTCTTCCAAGAAAATTGTGAACTTAGTGAGGAAAACTGTTTTATTTATTCACTGATGGTCCTAGTGCTGCTTATTTTATTGCACTTGGTGTGCATTTAATAAGTATTTATTGAATATATGCATGGCCCAATTTCTTCAGAAAGGGGATTTTTAACCGTTGGAAGTGGCTGGGAGCACTGAACCAGACTGAGGGATATAGTGAGTACCTCTCCTTGTTTATTTCATTATCCCTTGTGCCTAGCATACTATAGAGATTTAGTACTATGAGATGGAATAAACCAATTCCAACTCTCGTTTTCATAAATATGTGATTTTTAGCAAAACATTTCACTTGAGCCTCAATTTTTCCATCTGGAGAAATTATGTCAAAGGTGATATGAAATAATGCATGAGACTGTACTTTGAACTCTGAAATGCTACACAGTTTTTTAAATTGGCAACTGAGAGTATTTAAACAACAGTAAGTCAACAGAAATAAGAACTGGTGCAAAAAATCTAGTAACCAAGGTTTCTCGGAGTGTGTGATGAGACTGGTACATGAAACATAGCTGTCATTCAGGAAGCTCAGTGTATCAGCTCTGGGAAGGTTATGGTTTTCGTAAGGGATGAAAGAATAAACAGTTGGATGATATTTCTTAATTATGCCATAATTTTCTGGTTATCATAAAATAGTGTCCGTTTTCTCACAGACATTCTCTTATTCAAGTCAGTAGACTTGGTAGAAGAATATAAATGATACTCAAATAAGTAATTTTCATTGGGGGGTGGGATGTGATCTATAAACTTTCTTTTCTAAAGTGGCTCTTAGAAAAGAGTGCTCAAACTTACATTGATTCTAAATGTACCAGTCAACGGAGGACAGTAAATGTGCACACAAAGCGGGTTGCAGAGTAGTTCTTTCCTATTTCCAACAGAACAGTGTGTCTGATTTTTCGCAGTTTGTGTTAGTTACAAAGAGCTTTTTTTATGGCTTTCATTTTCTGAGTTTATTGTAAGAAACCTAAAAAATAATTCCTGGTATGTTTTTCCTCTCAAAGATTTTTTAAATTTAAATTTAAATTTTATTATTACTATTTTTTTGAGATTTATTTATTTATTTGTCAGAGAGAAAGCACAAGCTGGGGGAATGGCAGGCAGAGGGAGAAGCAGGCTCGCTTGTTGAGCAAGGAGCCTGATATATGGGACTTGATCCCAGCAACTGGGATCATGACCTGAGCCAAAGGCAGACACTTCACCGACTGAGCCACCCAGGTGTCCCTCAAAGATTTATTTATTTAAAAGATTTTATTTATTTGTCAGAGAAAGAGCACGATCAGGGGGAGCAGCATGCAGAGCAGGCAGAAGGAGAAGCAGGCCTCCTGCTGAGCAGGAAGCCCAATGAAAGACTCTGTCCGAGGACCCTGGGATCATGCGCTGAGCCGAAGGCAGATGCTCAACCGACTGAGCTACCCAGGTGTCCCTCAAAGATTTTTTTTTTAACAGTTTTATTTATCTTGAAGTTTTAAGCCACATTGCACATCTTGTAATAAAGCATGGATTTTCTATACCTTGAGGCCTTAGAAAAATTCCAGTTTATAAATATATTCTTGTAACTGATCTAATAAGATTACTGTTGACTATTCTCTGGTTGTCGTCTTCTCCTAAGTAGCTATATTTTTAGCATTCCAGTAGTAGGAAATAGTTTTTTAATAAAGCCTCTTAAAACACTTTAGGCTTGAGGCACCTGGGTGGCTCAGTGGGTTAAGCCTCTCCCTTTGGCTCAGGTCATGATCCCAGGGTCCTGGGATCGAGCCCCACATCGGGCTCTCTGCTCAGCAGGGAGCCTGCTTCCTCCTCTCTCTCTGTCTGCCTCTCTGCCTACTTGAGATCTCTGTCTGACAAATAAATAAAAACAAAAGACAAAAACACTTGAGGCTTATCAGTCTCTTATAGTCAGATTTCCTGACTGAGAGCCAGTTTTTGTGGTTAATAGAAGAATTAATTTTATCAGTATTTGACATCTGAAAGAGATCCCTGGAGATAGCTACATTCAGAAAGTTAAACTGGACCACTTTCTTATACCTTACACAAAAACAAACTCAAAATGGATTAAAGACCGGATTCCTGGGTGGTTCAGTCACTTAAGCATCTGCCTTTGGCTCAAGTCATGATCCCAGGGTCCTGGGATGGAATCCTGCATCAGCCTTCCTGTGTCTGATTCTCCCTTTCCCTTTGCCTGCTGCTCTGCCTGCTTGTGTGCATGTGTGCCTGTTCTCTGTCAAATAAATAAATAAAATTAAAAATATAAAAATAAAAATAAATATAATAAATATTATAATAAATAAATATAATAAGATAAATACAATATTTTAAAAAAGGACTAAAGACCTAAATGTGAGACCTGAAACCATAAAACCAGAAAACATAGGCAGTAATTTCTTTGACTTAGGTCTTAGCAACCTTTTTCTAGATATGTCTTAGGCAAGGGAACAAAAACAAAAGTAACTGTTGGGACTATGTCAAAATAAAAAGTTTTCATACAGTGAAGGAAACCTCAACAAAACAAAAAGGCCACCTTACTGAATGGGAGAAGATATTTGCAAATGACATATTTGATAAGTGCTTATTATCCAGAATATATGAAGAACTTCTGCAGTACAGCACCAAAACACCAAATAAGAGACATTTTCCAAAGAAGACATATAGGTAGCCAATAGACAGATGAAAAGATGCTCAACATCACTAATCAGGGAAATGCACATCAAAAGCACAGTGAGATAGCACTTTACACCTAGTCAGAATGGTTGGTATCAAAAAGATAAGAAATAGCAAGTGTTGGCGAGGATGTGGAGTAAAAAGAACCCTCTTATTAGTAGGAATGTAAATTAGTGCAGCCACTGTGGAAAATAGTATGGAGGTTCCTCAAAAATTTAACATTAGAAATAACATCTGATTCAGTATTTCTACTACTGGGTGTTTAGCCAAAGAAAAAGAAAACACTAATTTGAAAAGATACATGTATCCCTATGTTTATACAGCATTATTTACAATAGCCTAAGATATGAAAGTGACCCAAGTGTCCATTGATACAAGTGTGGATAAAGAAGGTCTGTGTGAGTGTGTATAGAGATCTTGCTACTTGTGACAACAGGGGTGGACAAGGAGGGTTTTATGTTAAGTGAAGTAAGTTACAGAAAGACCAACACAGTGATTTTATTTACATGGAATCTAAAAAACAAAAAAAGTAGGAACAGACCCACAAATACAGAGAACAAACTGGTGGTTTCCAGAGGAGAGGAGGGTAGGGTGATGGGCAAAATGGGTGAAGAGAAATGGGAGGTATAGGTTTCTGGTATGATATGAATAAATTACATTAGTGAACAGTATAGCATAGTGTGTGTAGTCAATAATACTATAATAGTATTGGTGGGTATAGATAGTAGGTATACTTGTGAGAATAGCATGACATATAGAGTTGTTGAATCAGGCTCCATAGCTCAGGGGTTAGAGCACTGGTCTTGTAGAGTTGTTGAATCATTATGTTGTATACCTGAAACTAATGTAACATTGTATGCCAGTTATATTTAAATTTAAAAAGGTCTGAGGACCAGCTGGTAGGTAATTAAAAAAATAATCTCATACAAGGAAAAAAGAGATCCCTGGGCTTTTTAATTTTTATTTTTTATTGTATGTATAAATACGACTTGAGATGCCTGGGTGGCTCAGTTGGTTAAGGTTCTGTCTTTGGTTCAGGTCATGATCAGGATCCTGGGATTGAGTCCTGCATAGGGCTCCTTGCTCAGCGGGGAGCCTGCTTCTTCCTCTGTCTTCTGTTCCCCCTGCTTGTGCTCTCTCTGACAAATAAATAAATCTTTAAAAAAATACAGTGTAAACCTTGATAATTTGATACATGTATTAATTGTGAAATGATTACCAACCTGTTACCTCACACAGTTATCTTTAT